TGCCAACAGCTGCCCTAAGGAGCCATGCTGCCTCACACTCGCTGCCTCCCTGCTCTTCCCTGCAGCACCACCAGCAAGCATATCCGGTCCTTGCGCTTGTGCTTGCCAGGACCTGTGGCCCCTGGGTCGTCACCGGCCCCTCCCTCCACCGCACAGCAGCCCTGCACATGGCTGGTTGCGGGATGCACGTTCCTGGACACAAGCTGTCACACTTCTGTGCCTTTACCTAGAGTGCTGCCTCCCTTTCTATTTGCCAATACTCATCTTCCTGTTCTGGCTCCAGGGCCTCTGCCAAGTGGAGCCAGGGCTGAGCTGGGTGCTCGGTCTCTGGGCCCCACTGAGCACCCGTGCTGCCCCCAGCCTGTCAGTCACAGCCCTGCCATATTCTATTGCACTTCTCTGCATACATAGCAGCCTCACTCAGGGCACCTGAACCCCTCCAGGAGAGGATTGTACACACCCTCGATGCCACCTCCAACCTTTCTTTTCTGCTTTGCTTTCTCCTTAGCATGCTCATCTGCCTGTCTCTCCCCACCAGAATGCAAACTCTGTTAATGCAGAAGCTTTTGTCTGTTTCAATGTGTGGAGAAGTGTCAGTGACTGGCATGTGGTGAGTGCTTATTATGGTTTATATCTAAAATGTCTCTCAAAGCCTCATGTGCTTGTGGGCAGGGCTTTTCGAAGGTGATTGAATTATGGGGGCTTCTGGCTGACTTGCTATTAGGAGGTGGGATCTGGTCTGAAGCGGGGGTCCCTGGGGGGATGGCCTGGGTCTGCCTGTTCCCTAATCTTCCCCTGACCTCTCTCTGCTTCGCTGCCCTGCCATACAGAAGCCTCCTCTGCCACACACAAGCCTCCTCTGCCACACCCCTCTGCCATACTGCCCTGCCTTGGAGCCAGCTGACTATGGACTGAAACTTGTACAAATAGTGAGCCAAAATAAATCTTTACTCCCTAGGGTTGGGAGTGTTGGGTATTTTGAACCAGCAATGAGAAAGTAACTAAGGCAGTGTTCAATAAATATTTGTTTAATAAACTGTTGTTTACTCAATGTTATACTACTTAGCTTTATTGCCTGGCACATTGTAGATATTAAGTATGGAGGCTCCTCTGTGCATGATGGGGTTACATCTGATAACCCCATTAGGTCAAAAGCATCACAAGTCCAAAATGCACTTAAAGTACCTAATCTGTCAAACATCACAGCATAGCCCAGTTTACCTTAAATGTGCTTAGAACACTTACCCTATAGTTGGGAAAAATTATCCAACACAAAGCCTATTTTATTTAATTTATTTTTTTTGGTACTGGGGATCGAACTCCGGTCCTTGGGCTTGTAAGGCAGGCAGCAGAACCATTGAGCTAAATCCACGGCTCCAAAGCCTACTTTATAATAAAGTGTTGAATAGTGCATGTAATTTCTTGGACACATGCATCCAAACAACACCGGCAACACAGTATACTATGGATTTATTTACTCTCCTGATCTCAAGGCTGACCTGGATCTGTAGCTCACTGCAGCTGCCTGCGTATAGCTGGCCTTGGAAGAGAGCAAAATGCCAAGTATGGTTTCTGCTGAATGTGTATTGCTTTTGTACTGTCGTAAAGTCCAAAAAACCCTAAATAGAACCATTCTGAGTCAGAGAGCCTCTGTAGCTATTCTTGGCTGAATGAATATCTATCATGTTGCTAGCCTGTTTAAAAGAGTTCAAACCTAGGGCTGGGTTCAATGTTTTCTACCTTCTAATCCTAGCTGATCAATTTTGAATCCTCTTGGTCTCAGGATAAGCCCTTAGTTTAGCCCTGACCGCTCTGCTCCCTTGAGAATACCCCAGGCATTGCTCTCTCCACACCCAACCTCAAACAGAAATATTACCGACCCATTTGCTCAGCACGCACACATCCAGCACCTGGGATAGGCCAGTCACTCTTCCAGCCTCGGTCCTCCACCTTTGAGTACTCCATTTTCTTCATCCTCTAGGTGAGGACAAACTGACCTTTGCTTGGGAATCTTTCCCTGGCCATCTCGGCCTATGGGACTTCCTCTGCCAGTAACGAGCCATATGGCAGCATCTCATTATGGCATTATCAACCAGTAAGCAGATGTTAAATATATGTAGATTTTATAGGAAACAACGGTTTAAACTGGATTAGTGTTTTGTAATATTTCAAACATTTGAGAAGGAAATCTTTCCAATATTGACTTCACCTTTTCCCTGTCCTCTTAACTAGAACACTTGTAGGGAACATCCATCTGGCCTGCTACAGCACAGGCTCATCCCTGTGCATACTACCTATTTCCTGTGATGTAACTGTATTCCAGGAGAACAGGGTAAAGGAAAGGGCAGCACTTTGGAATCTCAATGACCTTCTTTGCAATCTCTGGGATTTCGCTAAGGCCACCTCTGACTCTCATTTAAGGTGTTTCTAATGTACAGTGGGCTTAAGAGTCAGATAACAACGGTTATTAGAATTGCCTACAAAGTAATTATTAACAGTAAGCATGGACAAGAGAGTCCCCTATTTATAAGTGTAACTGCTTTAAAACACGGACTTGTACAAATTATTTTGTAGATCAAAGACTTTTCTCGCTCTTACTTTTTGCTTATATTAAGATTCTTGAGGTTATAAGTGACTTCTTAGAAAGTGTGTCTCAGTACACTTAGTGTCTCATATAGTATCTGTTGTAAAACCTCTAACCATATGCACAGAGGTGACTTTTCAATTAGATTGTTCCCTGGTTAGTTCATTAACTTCCCAAGGGAGAAAGTTTCTATAGTTATTCATTCATATGCTAAGTATAATTTAAAGTAGCTATTATATGGAGTGATCTGTGATAGAAAAAAGTAGAATATTTATACATTATTGAAGAGAAAAGACGCAAATTGCCAATATAAAGTAAGAAGGTAAACATAAAAATTCAGAGTGCTCTGGAGATTCAAATGAGGGGAGAGACTATTCTGGCTGGGAGAACTAGAGAAGGCTTTGTGTAGCAGGTGGCATTTGAGATGGATCTTGGTAGACAGGAAGAATTTTAGTGGGTAGTATTCCAGATCTGGGGAAAGCTGTGGTAATGAATGGGAAGGAGGGATAAATGTGCACATTTTATTTGCTTTTTGTACAAAGCAGACGTGCTGAATACTTGAGGAAATCCAGTAAGCGCTACCCTTCTTCCCCAACTGTTTGGAATAAATAGATTAGGGTGGTGGAATGGCAGATGGCACACACAGTATTACCTTTATTACTGACTGAGGCTAAGCCACAGGACTCAACTTCAGGTGAAAGCCAGACAAGCCCTGGAGACAGCAGCTGCCTTCAGATCAGGCCTCTGGGTTACACTGACCAGCACTGCGAGCCTGAGAAGTTCTCCAGTGCTGATCTTTTCAAGTTCAGTTCTCAAGATTCTTCCATAAAAAATGGAGAGCAAAAGGCACTGAAGGGTGAATTCATTATTTTAAACCAGTTTGTTCTGGACAACATTTCTCTCCCAGCGAAGCACTTTGGGAGACAGAAAGTGAATGGTTATTCACTGAGGACCTCTAGATAACACGGGCTGTGCAGCAGCCCCACGTCTTGACGCGGAAAGTCCTGGCCTGCTTTGAAGGTTCTAAGTTTTAAAGTGAAAAAGACACTTTGCACAGCTCTGGAGCCCTGTGCCTGAGTGCTTTATCACATTGGACAGATTTCTGGCTTTCCTGCGAGGAACCTGGCTGCTGCATTCTCCAGGACCTACCCTCTGGAGTCCACTCAGAATTTGGGGGTTGTACACAGTGCAAACGGTCTGGGCCAGCAAGGGGGACAATGGAGCCTGGTAGCTGGGAGTGGTGAAAATCGGCTACACTGGCCATGAGTATATCCTCTGAGAAGTGCAAAATATGGGTGAGAGAACAGTGGCTAGAGGGGATGAGGAAGAAGCTCTGGTTGCTGGCGTGAGGGCTCCTTGGGGCTAACAGTCCCTGGCCAAGGCTAGTTCAGGGAGAGCCTGTGTTTCTCTGCCCAACTGCTCACAATACACCTGTAGACAATGCGTGCAAACTGGGCACTTCACTATCCAGTGTCGGCAATGGAAAATTGTGTCAAGGCAGAAACTTTTGAGTCCCAGCTGGATGTGGCAGGCATACTCGCCATGGATTCTTGGAACCCTAGCAGCACAAAATAAATAAGTAATAAGAGCACAATTAATTGAAAATAGTTGCTTTCTGCTTCGTATCTACTAAGCACGGCAAGTTTCTGTGATGCTCACTACAGTCCTGCAGGGTGGACATTACCATACGGGCCACTTTTCAGACAGGGAAACCAAGGCTCCAAAAACACAGCGCCTGGAGGTACCTGCCTGCAGAGTCGCATGTTCCCGCAGTTCCTACAGACTGGGGGTTGATGTGGGGGGCTGGCACCTGCTCTGTTAGGGTAGGAGCAAGGAGAAGCGGGATTGTAGGGATGTGGGGCTGTATGGTTGCTCCCTGGGCTACCTGTGAGCTCAGGTGTGCTGTATGGGTTAAGGTGTGGGTATATTTGAATATCTGTGGATCAGTCCTTGTAATGGGTGATTTTGTGTGTGTGTGTGTGTGTGTGTACATGCACATGTTGTAGGGCGAGGCGGGCACACATGTGAATATGTGAATTGAGAGTCTGCTCAAAGCCTTACATTTTGTGCCTAATTGTAAGGATGTGTTCCTGTGTGTTGGAGAGGTTCGGGTGCGAGTAAGTCGAGGCGCTGCACGCTGTGGCGGGGGTCCATCCCATCTATTCCTGGTGTGTGCGGGGGTGCAGGACTGCGTGTCCGAGCTCAGATGTGCGTGTGCGTGGGGCGTCGGTGCCACGCCCAGGTGTGGGGTGTGACCGCTCGCCCCGGCCAGTCCTCGGCTGCAGGTGGGCCGGCTGCGCGGGGCCGCAGCGCTCGCAACTCTTGGCTCGCGGCCGCGTCGGGCTCGCAGGGCTGGGCTGGGGCTGCGGGGCGGCGCCGGGACAGGAAGCGGAAAGCAGCAGTGCAGCGGCGGCGGCGGCGGCGACGGGGCTCTGCCTCTACAGGAGCCCAGCGCAGGCCGCAGAGCGGAGCGCCGGGAGCCGAGAGCGCGGGCCGCGGAGCCCGGCCGGCCGGCGCGGAGGTGAGTCCTGAGGGAGCCGAGGCGAGGCGGCCCGCACACCCCGCCCCGCGCGCTCCTCCCGCTCCGCCTGGGCTCCCGGGGACGCGCCGGGTGGTGCTGCCCGGGCCCCTTCTCCTCCGCCCCGCCCTGCGCTCGGGGCGCACCCCTCTCGGGGTCCCCCGGACACCCCTGCTCTCCGCAGGGCTCTGGGGGGCGCCCTCGGGCGCGGCGGGCGGTAATGGGGAGGGCCGAGCGTCGGTGGAGGCGGGGCCGAGCCCGCCCCGCGGTTCCCACCCGGTGCTCGCCCGCGCGCGGGGTCACCTGGCCCGCCGCCAGGCACGGCGCGGAGCCGGCCCGTGTCTCCTCGCTCGCTGCCAGGCTCGGGCGGCTTGAGGACCGGGCGACGCGTCCGTGTGCGAGTCGCGGAGCGCAACAGGCAGGTAGGAGTTTACTTTCAAAAAGGCCTGGGGTGGAGCAGAGGCGTGGGGCCGGTCCCCGCCCGAGGTGTCGCTGCCCTGGGAAATCTCCCCACGCCGGGCAGCCTTCGCCAACGGCGAGACCTCATTTCCTCCTGTAGTCTTTGAACTGCCCCAAGCAACGCGCCCAGAGAAGTGTGAAGCTTTATAAAAATTTAAACGCGTCGGTGGTGGAGGCAGGAGTGGGGCGGAGCCGCGGCCTGGCTGCTCTGCGAAGAGCTGCTGAGAAGGGAAATGGGTTGCCCAGTTTTCACTTCTACCAACCGGGTACGACGCCCAAGCCGCGAAAGTGAGCGCCTTGCGTTGTTCTAGGGAAGTGTTAAGGCGATTTATTGTGATCGTGTGGGTGACACGTGCATTCTGTTAAAACTCTTTCTGAGGGGGCTGCGGTTTGAAATGCGGGTATTCTTAGATACTTACTCCAAAAGCTAGCAAGCTGTAAAGAACCTGGCATTTTCACTGGCGTGTTTATAAATTTTACAGGGTTGCTGAAAAATATTATAACTTGTGTCACTAATCAGCAGTGCTAATTAGCATTCTCCCTCCAGGAGGTGGGTTGTTTGATTACACAGCTCCTAGGCTCTTTAAGTGAGATGGCAGAAACTGGCTGAATCCAAAGACATAATTAGCCATTTTATGTAACCACTAATTAGAGTTTTTAGAGTCGAATTAAATCAATGTGATATAGTTGGGGTTTTGATTTGTGGGAGGAAATTTTTATTCTACAGTTCAAAGAAATAACACACCTCCCCTATCCATAAGCTCGGTAGCATTTCCGCATGCTGGCCCCTCTCCGATGTGAGGGGTAAAAACACCTCGGGTAAAATTTTCACTGTTACTGTGTGTAACTTGGCAGTATGGCTTGGTTGCAACTTAATTTGCAAGTAAAATGGGAGACGAATTTTGAGAGTGGCATTTTTGTAAGGACTGCTTGCCAAGCGGTACATTTTTATTGTTTTATATATTGGGCAATACGATGAAACCACAAAGGAAATTTAAAAGTTTCCTTACCCAGCAACAATTCCATGTCACCTTTGTTTATGATGAATTAGTAAGTGTTGAAGTCTTAAGAAAAGTATTCTCTCCTTTATCCCCCTGATACATACAGAAACACACTGTTTCCCTAGACTTCAGCCACTGTTTGGGCCCTTACCACACTGGATTTTAATTGGAGAGCTCCAGCTTTGGGCTGTGGGCTCCTTTAGAGCTGGAACTTTTTCAGATTCATTTATTTCTTTTGAACTCCTCACTATGTTTAGCACACTGAACCTGTGAGTAGTAGTTGAAACTGCACAATTCTTTATGAGGTTATTTGTGGTTTGGAACAGTTTTTGACTGTTGCCTACCTGCTTCTGTGTAAATAAATGATTCTGGTAATTGCTGCATTGTAAATTTTCTATACTTAAGAACAGAGAGAGGTTCAATAATTAGACTCAAATTCAAGCCCTGTTGAGCACTTACCAGGTGTGCAACCTTGGCTTCCTTCACTATGCCATGATATTAATATTTTATTTTCCTTAATGGCTTGTTCTGGGGATTAAGTGTTGTAGTATGTGCAAATGACTTAGTCTAACACATAGTGACACTTGGTAACTAACTGTAAGCCATTACACTGTTACTGCTATCATCTCTCTAGAAAGTGAAGCATCTGTGGTCAGGTGTCTAGCATGTTCGTGGCAGGTGATTTGGGCATATGCTCTGCAATTTCTGTAAGTTGGGCAGGATGAGGTGGCTTGTGGCTGGGCTGTTTCTGCCGGCAGCTTGAGCTTGCTGAAGCCTGAAGAAAAGGTGCCTGTGTGTTCTGCTTCGGTCTCTGTCCACCTGTGTCCTCTGGAGTCCCACTTATTAAGACAGCAGTCACTGGCCTGTGGGATTCGCTGAGAAGGTAGTATTCAGGAAACCTATTTGGCCCAGGCTTAAAGCTCTAGTAGGGGACAAGGGATTGGCTTGAAAACAAATATCCACCTTACGTATTCATAGCTCTGCAGAAATCTATATCTAGCCTCCAAAAGGTGGAAATATATTCACTGCAGAGGGGGTGGAGTGGCCCTTTAAAGGCAGTGTGTGTCCCTGCACCTCTGTGTGCTAACTTCCTCTCTTCCCAGCCAAGCCCCCTTAATTACTTATAGCTGTAGGCAGAGCTGTTGATGTTTTATAATTTCCTTTTGGCGACAATTAGCTTATGCCTGCAATGTCATTACCATAACCTATCATTTCCCTCCTGTGATTTTCTGAGAACTTTTTCTTTTAAGTAGGAGTCTAGTGTATTTTATGTGAGTGAACCTGACTTTAGAGAAAGATTCTGACACCTCTGACCTTCATTTTGCTCTCAGTAAACCATGGTAAAGGAGGTTCTTAATAGCATTTTTGCCTGGGAATTCCAGATCTCAAGACACTCACCCAGAGGTACACAGTGCACCTGTCTCAGCAGTGTTCCCCTTGCTGGTCATGTGAAGGGGTTTGCTGAGTTCCACCCCCTACTGATGTGTCCCTCCAGCCCCTTCCTGAGCAGTAAATCCTGCCTGTAGCTCTTCAAGGGTGGATGGTGGGAAGATCAGGATGCTCTTGGGCAGGCCTGAAAGAGACTGATTTCTGCGTAGCACACCTGCAATATAAACTTCTGCTTAGCAAGCTGCCATGTGAGCCAGCAAAGTGACTTCACTCTCAGTATATCACTGCAGGATTTCTTCCATGGGGAAAGTATGCCTTACTGTCCTGACCTCTGCTGCCAAACATTCATTCAGCAAACATTTACTGGATGCCAACTACTGAATGTTGTAGGAGGTGGAGAAACAGTAATGAAAGTGGCCCCTGCCCTCATGGAGCTACAGTTTATATAGGAGCTGGACATTAAGTAATCACTCCAGTAAATGTAGAACTGAAAATTGAGAAAGGAAGAATGTGGAGTGTTGCGAAGGGCCCGATATGTAGGGTGCCAGATCAGAAAAGCCTCTTGAAAGAGGCAGTACTATATTTAAATTGAGAGAAATTGGGCAAAACAAGGTACCAGTGCCCTGATGCTGGAGAGAGCCTGGTACCTTAGAGGAACAGGAGCTGAGGCAGAATATTGAAGATCAAATGGAAGATTTTCCATTTTATTCAAAGCTCACAGGGACACCGAGGAGAGAAGGGTTTTAAGCAGAATGATACCTGCCTAGTAATTTAAAAGGTCACTCTCTTTGCTGCTCATCCTGGGTCAGACACGATATGGACCATGTCTGGGATCAGGATGATAGAGGGACTGGTCCACGTTCTTAACTCCATGTTTTCACCTTTACATGAGCCCCGCCCATTCAGGCTGGTGCAGCAACCCATCAGCTTTTTATCCCGGGAAGATGATTCTTTTCTGTTGTTATCTTTCCTAGTAAGGGGTCTCTTCTGGGCTTGTCACAAGTTCTGTTAATTCCTTGTGCACGCAAGGGAACTGTCTCCTAAGTACATAAAGTCCTTGCAGTGATAAGCTTCAGGATATGCTTCTCTGCTGTCTCCACAGGAGCTCTTACCTGGGCTCAAACCCTCTTTTAAAACGAGTCCTAGGTTTTATGAGTTTGCTTCCTGTTGCTGCTCCTTAATCTCCACTCTGATCTTAGATAGGATAAGTGTTGATGAGCATGACACACACAGTATGATTTAGAAGAAGGGCTGGGCTCTGTTTCTCTGCAGCCCGGATTACACGGAGAGACATGGAGGCTTTGCTGCACATTAGCCCTGGGCTGCTGTGATGTGCCAAAGTGGTGGGCGTACCGTGTTCCGGAGACAGGCAGAGCTTGGTGATGGTGGGATGTGCGCGATGAAGAGGAAGGGGAGAGCACTGAATGGCACAGGGTTGGGTTCATGGTGCAGAGTGATGGCATTGCTATGGCAGAAGAAATTGAGAAGACTGGGCCAGGATGCGAGAAAGCAGCTATGGAGGGTGATGATAATCCCAAGTGGAGCAAAAGTTGTCCTCCCTAGCAGCAAGTGTGCGTCTGGGCTTTATTCTTCAGGAAGCATTTGTTGGGTACCTGTGGTATTCAGAGTGTCTTGGGGATAGGGAAGCCATAGCTTCTGTTTCCAAGGAGTGTATGCTATTGTGAGTTCACCGATGGGGAGGAATGAGGCATGTTTTGAGGGCTAAGAGTTAATACATGATGTGGGGAAAGGGAAGGAAATTTTAGAGGAGAAGGAGTAAACAGGTGCCAGCAGCAGAGCCCTGTGAGGACAGGCAGTGTGTCTTTGTCATTGCCATGCCCCTAGCATTGCTAAGCATGGTCGTGGTTGCTCAAATGCAGATGTGAATGAATGGGTCAGTGGGAGTAAGGAGGGCTTGGAGGAGGACAGAGGTGTCATGTTTAGACCTGGCTCACAGCACTCTCTGACCAACTTAGAGATGTTTCAGTGGAGATTTAAGGATGGAAGACTTGACGACAGCAGAGAGAGAGAGCAAGAGAGCATTTATTCATGCCCCGTGGATAAGTATAGGGAGGAATTGTGGGAGAGAAACTGGGCATAGGTGGTTGATAGAGTTAGGAAAACCTTTATCCAGAGGGTCCTTGGGGTCTGTCATTTCCTTTGAGGGACATGTCAGGCGTTCTCTTAATGGGCAAGTTGTAGTGAAGATGAAGAGTGATGACCATTGGCAAAAGGTGAAGAGAATGAAAGTTGGGTTGTATTTGCTGGAGACAATGCATTTAATCCTCACTACCTCCTTAGGAAGGGAATATTAAATGCCCCCATTTTACTGGGGGGTTGTGGTGGGAGGTAGAACAGAAGCTTAGAGACAAGAGCATCTGCTTCGTGGTGGTGTCACAGCTAGGAAGTGAAAAGACAGGATGAGCTCTGGGGTGCAGGGCTGAGGCCGTCTGCCTCTGAGACACCTCTCACCATTTAGTGACAGATAGCAAGGAGCTGGGATGGAACGGGATTCAGGAGTTAGGGGTTGGAAGGCACAAACAAGTCTAGGGGTTATGGAGGCTCAATTATGAGTCTAGAAAAGAGAGGTCAGTTTTCTGGGGAAAGAACCAAACATTGGAACTTGCAGGTCAACAGAGAGCAGGGTCAGGGGCTCCCAGGGAGAGCTGGATTCACGCTGGCTGCACATCTTGGCTGTACTTCCTGAAGCTGATGTCTGCCAGGTATGAAGCCAGTGAGAAAGCAGCAAAGCCGGGGGGGGGGGGGGGGCAGAGAGGAAGTGAGACTGGAAGGCGCTGAAAGCTCATTGAAATTGCTAGCGAAAATGAGGGGAGACAGAGTAGAGTGAAAAAAGATCAGCCAGCTCTCAAATCTTTGAGGAACATACATGGAGGTCAGCCCAAGAGCCAAACTAACATTTTGAAAAATGCCTGCCTGCGTGTCTGACATTTAACCTTTACAGTCACCCCTTCAGTATAGGATGTCTTAATTCCTTTTTATGGGGTAGAAAACCTGAGGTCAAATCAAGATCTAACTGCCTTGCTTAAGTACACAGCTGGCTGGGAGGCAGTGGTCTGCAAGACCACCCTTAGGGTGGACCCATAGGTGAGCCTCATGCTCACTGCCCTGCTGCTTTTCAAGCCGGAGCTTTGGAACTGCCAAAGTGGGTGGGGATGGCCACCCACTGTCAGCTACCCAGTGCATGTTGAGCCCATGGTGGGTGCTGTCACTGTACTTAGCGTTTTTGGTCATTGCAGCAGTCCTGATATTCCCACCCAGTCTTCCTCACTGCCGGCTGGGGTGCGGAGAAGGAGTAAAATGTTGAGTGTGGACTAAGGGAGACTAGCCTTGGGTGGCCAACCTTGGAAATGAAAGAATGTCTCTTCCAGGCTGAAGCAGTGGTCAAGCCAGAGGCGTCCTCATGGGAATTTGAAGTTCTACGGGCTGTGTTGGTGTGTGGTGCCCTGGCCTGCCTGATTCCCCACAGACTTGGTGTTGCTGGGGTCTGGGAGCCTGGGCCTCCGGGAGGTGGGGCAGGGCTAAGGCATTTGCAACTCCTTTGTGTTTTCTTCACACTTATCTTCCTGGGCCTGTTTGCAGTTTAACTTCTCTGAGAAGGAACTCTAGTGGGCGGAGACCAGCTCTGGCTGAGGGGTGCAGGGAGACACAGAGTTTTAGATCTGTTTTCTGAAAGTAAAGGATTAGTGTGTGTGAGAGCTCAGGAATGTACTTGGAAATGTTTCCAATTTATTTTTATTGCAAAGCAGTATCTAATGAAAGTGTGGGAAAGGACCCAAGAACCTTGCAACTAATAAATCACCTGTTTGCATTTTCTGATGTCCTCTTTGAATCCTTATCCTTACATAAGTTGTTTGATGTGAATGTAGGGGTAAATTCAGTGTGTATCTACAATCCATTATTAAATTCATTCTATCATAAATATCTTTACTTTCTAATTACCATTTTATATAGATACGTGCTTTTTGTTGAGTGGATGAGTTTGTTTTCCTTACCTATCCCTTTGTTTTAGGGTCACTGAGATTGTTTCTAGCTTTTTTATTGTTATTATAGACAGTTGGGTAATAATTTTCTTGAAGATTTACTTTTCTAAGATAAATTCTTAGAACTTTGGATTCTTGGATTAAAAGAGCGAGATTTTTTTTTATACTTTTGATGATGATTGGTGTCCTTAAAAGCTACTTCCCTGAGTATTTTATGACCGGCAAACTGGCAGTGAGAGAGCTGACCTCTCCGTCTAGGGTTGTTGGTGCAGAAAGCCACTTATGGCCCAAATTAGCGAGGGTGAGACTGTGCTTAGGAAAGGGACCAGTGCCTGGTCTCTCCCGCTGCCCATCTTCTCCCTGCTGTGGTGGGGATCCACTTGCTCAGCACTCAGCCTGTCTCCCACACACCTGGGAAGCTTGTTCCTACATGAGATGAGCATTTACAGGTCAGTGCTTCACCCAAGCTCCCTCGTTCCATAATAAAGACCCCGCTGAGGAGGTTGCTGCTTGTGAGAGGCAGCTGCTGTCTACCTTGTTAAGAATGGCTTTGAAGACTGATCTCTCTTTTTTCCCTTTTTCCTAGAATTGTTCCTGTTGATGAGTAGCTCCTCTTCTGATTTGGACTTCTTGAGGCTTTAGAAGCTAGTAGGTGAAATTGTCTACCTCTAAAGAGAAACAGTGCCTGCTCCTTCAAGACGCATCTCTCCATTGCTATGGATACCGAATCCACATACTCTGGATATTCATACTATTCAAGCCATTCAAAAAAATCTCACAGACAAGGGTATGTAAGCCATTGATCGTTCTGCTTTGCATTTGGGAAATCTGCAGGTTGGTGGGCCTTTCAAATAGCCGCTTGCAGAGCTGTTGATGCTGGCAGTTCCGCCCAGGGGTGCCTGAGAGGCTGACCTGTGACAGGGGCTGACATAGGTTTGGAATAGCCATGCCAACAATTTACATTGTATAGCCACTGTTACAGTTGATGACCTTAATTTCTCACAATTAGTTTTTTTTAAATTAATTTTATTGGTATATTTTAGGTATACAATATAATCATATTCATCATTGGAAATTTGCACCTTTACATAATCTCTCTTGGCTCTTATTTTTTCCCCCTTCCCTTACCCTCCCTTCAACCCCTCCATGCCTCCCTATTTACAAAGACATTGTTTCCATTTTTTCATTTTCTCATATTAATTCCATTTCCCTTTTTCCTTTCCCCTACCCCTCCCACTCCCCCTTCCCCTTTTCTTCCTGTTTCACATTGTCTATTATACCTTTTAGTCCTTATTTACACTTTCAGTTTCTCATGCTAGAGAAACTATTTGCTATTTACATATGTGTGTCCTATTTATTTCACTTAAGAGTATCGCCTCAATGTGCATCCATTTAGCTATAAATGTCTCTAGTTTTTCATTTTTTATGGCTGAGTAGTACTCCATTTTATTAAAAAAAAACCCCACATTTTCTTTATCCAGTCTCCGGTTGATGGGGATTTGGGCTGTTTCCAAGTTTTAGCTATTACAAACTGTGCTGCTATGAACACGGGTGCACATATATCACTGTAGAAAGATTCTTTTAATTCTTTGGGGAAGATCCCCAGCAGTGGAATAGCGGGGTCAAACGGGACTTCCAGTCCTAGTTCTTTGAGGTATCTCCATACTGATTTCCACAGTGGTTGCCCCAGTCTGCACTCCCACCAGCAGTCTCACAATTAGTTTTAAATTAAAGTTTCCCTCTGCAGTGGAAATGTTTTTCATTTCTAAGTACTTTTCAGATGTTAGTTCTCCCAAAGCTTTACGAGTAATGTGAAGGAGGGTTAAAAGACAAGTGTTCATTTGCTGCTTTTTACCAAAGCTGCTGACTCATTGTCCGTTATGCATTTGCCATGAGGTTTGCGCACAAGCCAGGGTGATTGGCCTGGTGCCTTTCTTCTCTTTGGTCTTCCAAGTGAACAGCCTGGGCTTTAGAATCACTGTCCGGGTGATGGGGCCAATTTCCCCATCCTCTGCAAATTAAACAGGTCTGCACTAGTAATTGAAGGGCCTGCAGTTACTAACCTGCAGAGTGTTTGCTGAGTAGAGGAATGGGTGACAGAGTGAATGAATGATGGCCTGTACCAGTGAAGAATGCAGCTGACAAAACTGCAGCGTTGCCACTTAACCTAGTCTCCTTATCTGTGAAATGGGTACAGGGATCCCTCCTTTTGAGGTTGTAGAGCTAATCAAATGAGATTATGCATGCAAAGTGTTTAACCCAGTACATAACAGGAGGTCACCAACCAGCGACTATGTTAATGGCTTCACATCTCAATTTCACATTTCAGTACCATGTTCAGAGATACCAACCTTCCCCAGCCTTAAGGCCCACCTGTGACCTCAGCTCAGTGTGAAAGGTGACTGTAGTGGTGTTTGTTTCCCTTGCTGAACAGTTCCCCCCATAAGAGTAGCTGAAGAGTAAGATTTTGTTTTGTAAAACCGTGATTCGATGTGTAGATCTAATTTGCTTGCTTATCCATGAGCCTGTATGTATGTACACACATAGAGGACTGGAAGTGGGTTGGCAAGCTTCCAAGAGTGGTCATCTACAGCAGAGAGGCTCTGTAGCAGAGTGACTGATGGGACCTGTCATTTATACCTTGCCTCCGTGCTTATTTGAGAATGTATTTTGTAATTTTTAAGAAAGTGAATGGAGTAGGAGTATAGAGGAAATTTCATAGGTTATTTGATAAAAGAAAACATGACCCCATGTTATTTTAAAAAATGAGTTTCAAAACTTTGTATATTGTGATATATATGATAGATATTAACGTACTGGCCATGCCTATCTCTGAGTATAGGGATTATGGGTATTAATTTGCATTCTTTTCTAAATTTTTATGTATTGCCCTAATCATAAAAATTTATAGCCTTGTGCTGGAGCCCTGATTAGCCTTTCCAGTCAGGAGAGGAAGTACAGGACCCCCAGTATTGGTGCAGCAGAGGTGGGGTTGCAGGGAGTCTTCAGGGATGGGATAGAACCCAGATCCTGAGATGGCCAAAAACACCGTGGTGATAAAACTTCTGTCACACATTTCAACCACTGGGAGAATTTACAGTTAGTTATAAAATACCAGAAACAGCTATTTTAAAATATCAACTCTTTAACACTAAGTAGCGAAAGCATCTCATTGTCAGCATGTCAGGCTTCCCTTTCCTGTGCTGCTAGGACTAAAGTAAGAATTTGAGATTCTTTTGGTGCTTGGGATGCGTATGAGAGAGCAGCTTACAGGCTTCTGAGAAGCTACTCTGACCTCCTTTGACTACACTTGAATGCTGACTTCCACACTTTGGGGTCCATTGCTGTTCTCTGCAATTTCCTTGGGCCTCTTGGGGCCCACAGAAATTGATACTCCAGTGTTGTTGTGGGAATGTTAAAAGACTATCACTGTATTAAAACAGCACACAACACTCTTAGTGCCTTCTTGGGTCCTTGTGGAAAGTCCTTGGCAAATGCTAATACAAAACAAGGCTTTCAATCAATTAATCAGGCCATGTTACCAAATGCCTGCTTGAGAGAAGCTCTGAGATCAGGGATGTGTGCATTAGGGACTTGTAGATGCATTGTATGCCTTCTTCAGAAGCAGTGACACCAGGTTCCCGTGAAGGCAAAATAGAGAACAAGTAATCCGCAGGCAGTGGGTGCTGGACACTGTGCAGTGCTTGACCCACACCATGAGGAGTGTTGAGCAGTAACCCTACCCTGCACTGGCACAGAACAGGCCCTAGACACAGCCAAGGCCATGGATTGTGTCCTAGCAGTGCCCCTGGGAGGCTGCTCTCTGCTTAGTGATTTGTTGGGAATTTGAATGGAAGAGAAGGAAAGCGGGAGGAGGACCAACTCCAGCTCAGAGCAGAATAATGAAGTGCACCAAACTCGATATGCCTGATGACACCATGATTATCTTGGAGGGTTGGCCAGCTTCCCAGCTGGGGGCAGGCAACTCTTTTCTAACAAAGAGGTTGATGGCCTGGTTTTATGATGCTTGCAGTTTCCTGAGAGTGTCCAGCTAACGTGCTGGGAAAATGGTGCAGACTTCAGCCGACCTTGCCTAACCTGTGAGTTCAGAGCACAAGTTGACTGGTTAATGCAGCAGCTGCCAGTGAAGTGAACGACTGCTTTGGGAGCACCCGCTGGGCCCTTCCCAGTCAGTATCTTCTGTCCTCACAGCAGACCTGGTCCAGTGAGAGGTGGTAGCCCTGTTTCACAGGTGATAACACCGAGGCATAGGGAGAAACACTGTTGCTGAAATTGTAGCCTTAGTAGGTGCCCTGGGCAGGATTCAGGATTGTTGGTCCATTGAAAAGGAAATGCTGCTTTTGAAAGGGACATGAAGGTTACCTAGGGTGACTGATGTACTCAAGTCCATTGTCCAGAGGAGGTCTGTCTGGGCAGTGGGGGATTCTGAGGCCACTTTGGGGCCAATTTGCCCTGCGTCCAGCCCTCTCACCCTACTCAGTGCTGACAGAAGCAGTCAGCCAGGCCCAGCAGTCGGCGGAGAAGGACAGGTAGTGCGTGAGTGGGCGGTGGTGGAAAAGGAAAAGGAGGAGTAACCGGTGGGGCCAGCTTTCCCTAAATAGAAACAGACAAATAACAGAAACAGGCCTAAATAATCTTCCCAGGAAATGCTGATTGTAAGCAGGAACAGTGTGGGAATTGCAGGATTCTGGCTGGAATGGGGGGGCTACAGTGGCCCCCAAGAATTCAGCTCCAGAGTTCCCCACATTGGTGCATGTACACACATGGGTGCACACACATGCAGGTACCTCTTGCATGCTGCTTCTTGCTCTCCCTGCCCTCTCACGTGTGTGTGTGCAAACACACACAGATAGACTTATTTTTGCTCATCTGGGTAGATGGTGCGGGGGGGAGATTGAAAGATAAAGCTACATTGATTCCCATGGGTAACATAGCTGCCCAACAAAGGTGCATAGGTGACCCCACCTGTCTGTCAGAATGGGTAAAATGCACAAAGGTGCATGTGATTGTTAAGTGGCATTCATGAACAGACTGTTGATTCTGGGGGCATCTGTTCCTAGACACTTAGACACATGGACTACTTGTCTTCAGCTTTGGAGAGCCCTCTTCCAGAGAACAGTTGGTAGCTACAGGTGTTCCTTCCACCTGGAGCCACAGGCATGAGCAGTTGGGTACATACTGCAGTGAGGTGGCTGCACTCTGACTTGTTCTGTAATCTGGAAAGCACTGGGGTGGACAGCGTTATTTTGGTTGGATCTTTAAGTCCTGGGTTGGCACACACCTACCTGGAGAAGTAATGGAGGAGCGGCAGTTTCTGTTAAAGCTGTATGGCGGGTCTTGCTCCTTCTGTAACAAGACTAGAATGAGGAGAAGCCCATTTGGTCCCATGCTGGTGCTGAGATGAGGACTTATTCTACATTTCCTCTCATTTGGCACATTTGGAAAGCTGGCAGCCTTTGGCAGCCTCAGTCATAGTCCCACACTGTCCTGCATCCACTTAATACTGTGTTAGTAACGAACCGCTGTGATTTGCAAGATTGTACAGCTGAACATACACTCATTGCTCCCATTGTTGAGCCCCTGCTGGGTACAGGCATTTCACACATAGGTGGAATTCCAGTTAGTCATTCCAACAGCTCTTTCCTCCCTTGGGAGCACTTGAGTGGGAGAGTCTTGTGGAAAATGTCCTAGACCACCTGCATCCTCATCACCCAGAGTGCAGTAAGAAATGTGGATTCCTGTTGTCTCCTTTCCAGACAAATCCTGTGAGGGTGGGGCCAACTAATCTGCCCTAAAATCTGCACCCAGCGTGGTTTTCATCACACTGCAAGTTGAGCAGCACTGGTTTAGGATTTCAGGCCCTGGAGGATGAGAAGCTTTCCTCAGGTTATCAGATAAAGGGTTCTGATCTGGTTTACTTCAGACAGTTACCAGGGAGTTGGGAGACAGTTGTTCTGCATCTGGTGCTTTGGGCTCTTTAAGAGCTGGGCTGCATAGGTTGGAGTGGGAGCTGGGGCTGGTGGAGAGAGGCTGTTCCAGCCCTGGGTGGTTCCCTGTCTGCTTTCTGCCTGATAGTGCTCAGGATCCAGGAATTCGCACTCCATGAACGATTCTGATTTCCAGTGGAATTTGTGCTGTCACAGGATTTGACCAGTGGGACTTGTGAATAGAGGTGGGTTGGGTAAGCATGTGATGTAGCTGATGGCCAAGAGGGTGTTAACTGTGAGTGCAGCAGGGAAAGTGGAAATGAGGTGAGACAGAAGAGGGGCCCGTGCATCTGGTGCCAGTGGGGTTTGGAGGAGCGGCGGTTGTGGCCCTGGCCTGATGTTCGTTCTGGAGGCTAAGCACATGGGAAATCGCTCCCACATCGTTATTGCTTCAAATAGGGAATACCCTTGGAAGTGGTTATACCAGATAATTCAGAATGCTGGGCTCACAGATTTGTGCTACCTAAGGTCACAGTCCAGTTGTGACTCCTAGTACTGTAGTAGCCTCCAGAGCATATTTCATAGCTCTAGTAGTGTGACAGCTGTCAGTGTGAGATAAACAAGAGGAGTATTTATGCTATAAATTCTTCCAGTTGTTCTTCAGAACAGTAGGTTTGAAAGTAATGGCAGCAGACCTGGATTCAGGTCTTGGAGAAGTCGCCAAAGCTTGTGAGACTCAGTTTCCTCATCTGTAAAATGGGAACAGTAATACTAGCCCCAAAGGGTTATTGTTAGGATTGCATGAAACTCATATAGTCAAGCACTTAATAAAGTGCTCTGTAAATTGGGGTGATAGTCATTGTTAGATGCATCTCTGGTAAACAACAAAATTCTCTGCTTGACTGTTTCCCTAATTGTTTGGTTAAAACAAAACATTAGACTTGACAAAAGCACATCCAGTTATGCTGTAGATACAGAATTCATGTCACAGAAAGATTCTCTGCAGCCACGGCTCTTTGAAAGAGTTATCCAACGTTTATCTTGGCTCTTTGATGGAGTTATCCAACGCTTATCCTAGGAAGATAGTGGTAAAGGAGACATTTGACAAGAAACCTTCATGTGACAGGTTTTAGTTGTGGTTTCTTATATTGCTAAGTAATAGGTGAATAGGAGATTTGTGTGTGGAGGGGAAGGGTTTGATGGTGTATTCATGGCTCTAGTTATATCTCTTTCTCCAAGGTAACTTACTCTGCTTTACAAAGTCAAGACACCATTTTTTGCCATTGGCTAACAGTAACCACAGTAATCGTGACCACTGTGTGAGTGCACTTGCTCCACACCCTGCATGGCATTGTCTATATAGTGTCATCATTGTCCCCATATTTCACAGGAGGAAACTGAGGTTTCAGAGGTTGAATGACTTATGCAAGGTTACATAGGTAGTGGGGCAGATTCAGATCTCACTACTTGTCTGCAAAATCTGCATTCATAATTCTGCCTTTCCTGGGAGTAAGAATGAGAGCAAGTAGTTGTAGGAGGGAAGGCTAATAGCCAGCCCGTGGGGACAGGAGGCTAAGGGAACTTACCAACTGAGCCAAGGGGCTCTTGGATTCACCATTGGCATCTGGAGGCCAGACTGCCAGTTTCCAGAAGTGGTTATTGGACCGGGGATTTAGCTCAGTGGTTTCGACGCCTGCTGCGCAAGCGCAAGGACCCAAGTTCGATCCCTGGTACCAAAAAAAAACCAAACAGAAGTGGTTATTGACCAGGTTGTGACCTGTGGGCCTGGCCACAGTGATTGATTAGTTTTGTAATTTCCAGACTAACCCATAGTAAGCTGACCTCCCTGTTGCCCTGGAAGACCACTCAGAAAGTTCATTTGGGGTAAAAGTATCCAACAACCTGCTTTCCTTAGGAGGTCTGAAAACACACACACACACACACACACACACACACACACACACCCTTCTCACCTCTTGGTGTCATTTGTCATGGCTTTGTTCGTTTCTGTGGGTGTCCTTGAATTCAGCTAAAACCTTTGGGAATGACTTAGTTTTCAGTTTGTAAGAATAAGAAGCGAATGATTTTTCTGTCCTAGTTTAGAGTTTCCTTTTTCTTGTCAAAAAGGGTAGGGTGAGAGTGTGTCCCAGATTTTTCTTTTTTTGTTTTTTGGTACAGACCAAAGCTTAGATATTTTGCACTGGTGTCCCAATAAAAAAATTCTAGAAAAGTAGTTTAGGCAAATTACTCAAATCAGCTGAGTGATTATTATATAAAATGCGCCTTAGCCAAGAAATCTAAAATTACAACTTTAAGCTCTGAAGAAAAATCTGATCGTTATTTGTGGCGCAGTGACAGTCTTTTTTTTTTTTTTTTTTTTTGGTGCTGGGGATTGAACTCGGGTCCTTGCACTTGCGCAGCAAGCGGCGAAACCACTGAGCTCAATCACCAGCCAACAGTCTTTGTTTTAGGTCATGAAATGGCAGAAAGGAAATAATTAAGTGGAGAGTAAAGATCACTTTACTCCTTGCAGGGGCAGATGGGTGGGTATCGGTGCAATGTGTGCATGTGTGTGTGAGCACGTGTGCATGTGTAGTTTTCTTAAATTTAAAATGAGATTTATATCTTAATGAATCAGAGAGTTAATTTATATGGCGTGAATTCAATAGCTGAGTATCATTTATTTTTTCAGGGAGAGAACTAGAGAGAGACATAAATCGCCCCGGAATAAAGATGGCAGAGGGTCAGAAAAATCTGTCACCATTCAACCTCCCACTGGAGAGCCCCTGTTGGCAAATGATTCTACTAGGACTGAGGAGGTTCAGGTAAGGATCAAAGGTGGTCTGTAAGCACACTGCCACTTGGCCAGTCTCCTTTCCATAAATGTTTTTCTAAGTCTTGTTGCAGTAGGTTCTCTTGAGTTTTTGTCTTTATTTTTCTAGCATGTTAATTAGTTTATCTATGTCCCGTGGTTTCTTATTGGTCTAAGAACAGCCTGTCTTGCCAGTGTGATTGGTTGGTCTACTTTGAATGATGTTGAAAAGAAGCCAGCACAGCTGATGACAGGGCAGGGAAGGGCAAAGTTACAGGCTAGAGTCTCGGGAGACTCATTTCGAAATGGAGCAGTGTTAGAGGGGGAGGGAAACTATGTAGTATTGAGAAGAAGGGAAAAGAAGTTAGGACAGCCCAGATGTACTGCTAAGTTCATGAAATAAACCAGTGACTGAACCCTCCAATGTCTGATAGGAAAACACAGATGAATGAGATAACCTCTTGGCTCAAAGAGAAGGGAAAAAAATCTATCAAGCAAGCCTTGGGATCGTGAGGGAACTTTGCAGGACCTCAGTGCAAGGCCAAGGGTCAGAGCCAAGGAGCTGTGGCAAGTTGGAGAGTGAGTTACCTCTGTCAGGGAAGCAGCTCCTGCAATCCAGATGCTTCCTGCTACTGAGGAATGCAAGGACTCAGTGTTCCTGGATCTTACAGTGTTTAAGGAAAACTAGGTATTAGGATTTTATGTGAAACCACCCAATTTTGAAATACTGGCAGTTCGTTACTTTTTTAAAAGTAGTTTGTGGGTTCTTCTCTAGGTTTCAACTGCCTGGCACCCTAGTTGGTTTAAATAAATATCTGACCTATGCTCAGAAGCATGTTTGCACACCCTCTACACATCCTGAAATATATGTATGCCCAGCCTTGCCTCACATAAGCAAAGCTGTGTTTGCATACACAGCTGTAAAGATAGAGGAATACAGATAAGCATATATCTGTATGTACCTATAGGTCCACACAAATCCATACTTAGAATCAGATAGATGACTGAAACTGCAGTTCCTCAGAGCATACAAGGTGCTCTTGGGACCCAAAACGGCAGATGTGGGTTAAAGGTAGGATTTATTCCCTGATGAGCAAATGCCTTTGATGGTGCTTTACTGCTTGTCTTGGCTCTGGGAGGGTGGATGGATGACTGGATAGATGGATGGATGGATGGATGGATGGATAAGTGGGGCCAATCCTAGATTTGAATCACAATTAAGTAGTTTAAAGAGTTAGTTTTCTCCTGGAAGTGGATTCAGAGGTGCTGGTGGCTCACCTTGAGGACAGTCTTTCTTTTAACTTCTCTATATATTGTACTTACTGGGAAGCCATTGGTCTTTACACCAGAACAATGAGGTAGAAAAGGGATTTAGAGGTTGTATATTTCAGCAGCTATTACTGTGGTCACTTACAACCTTTTAGGTTTCTTCACTGAAAATTTAGAGTATTATATTAAGGGAGTTTAGATCCTTTTTGTTCTAAAAACTTCAAACTTGAGATGACCTTTTCCACATCTGCATTTTTTAAGACACATATGTGCACAGATTCTTAAAGTGGTCAGGGGACTTAGTAACTTTTTGCCAGGAAGAAAGATGAGCAGCTTAAACTCAAGCAGCGGGTAGGCAACAAGGAATCCACAGGGTACTGGTAATAATTTTTCTGCATCGATAAGCAACTGAACACTAGGCCTAACACAAATATGGAATCCAGTATTTGTCTTCACTGAGAGTGTCACAAAATGCGTTATTTTCTATAGCTGGTGAACTAACCTTTTATTTAAGCAAATTGCATAGTTTTGAATTTGTGGCTTTTCCCCCTGCCTGATGTTTTTCTTTTTAAAATATTGCTGTGAATATACACAGAGAGAAACAAAACAGATCTTAAGTAGACCTTTGATGAATTGTAACAGATGAGTACACACAACCCACACTCCTCCCCACAAAAAATGCTTCTAGGCTCTTTCTAGTCCCCACCCCCATTCCCACCTCTGCAAGGCAACCGCTGTTTTGATTTCTACCTCTACAGATTAGTTTTGCCTGTTTTAGAATTTAATGTAATTGGAATCATATGATTTTTCCCCCATTCAGCATAACGCCTTTGACATTAATCTAGACTTTGGTGTGTTTAGGCAATTCGTTCTTTTTTATTTTTGCTGAATAGTAGTCTGTTGTATAAATTTACTACAATTTGTTATCTGTTCTGATGAGGTAGACATTTGAGTTGCACAATTTTGGCTGTTGTAAATAAAGCCATTAAGAACATTCATTCTTGTGCAAGTCTTTTGTGAACATCTGTTTTCATTAATTTTGGGTAAAACCTGGGAGTGGGATATGGCCATGTAGTGAAGGAGTACAGTGGGGCTAGTTTTCAGGAGGTGTTGAACCATCCTTCATTTCCACCAGCGATGTCTGGGAATCCTGGTTGCATCAGGCTGTTGTCTGTAGTAATTTCTGTTGTGGTAGGTGACAGTTTTCATCTCCCAAATTGAAGGCCTGTTGCATGTAGGTTGAGATCTTTACCACTACTACCACTTCTTAACCATATCCTGCTAATATATTTCATAAATCAAGGAGGTTTGTTTTTATCATTACTAGATTTGGAGTTACTCAGTTATGAGAGATCTGACTTGCTGATTCACCTATTAAACTGTATTTCTCTAAGTTGATATCCTCATTTCACCTATATTGGTGCTACATCTGTTTTTTTGCAGAGTTAAATCATATCCCTGAATCTCTGAGGCAAACCTCTTTGCACCCTGCATTGCTTTTCTTGCTCTGTTGGACCCTGGAAAGGAGTCACAGCTGCCAGTGAAACAGCAAAAGTGTTTACAGTTCCTAGCAACTGGATCTTTTTGCATGAATAGATAAATTGCGCTGACTAGCAACTACCTATGAGTTTAAAAACTGAGAGAATACAAGACAGTAAATGTACATTATCATAATCCTAGTTGTTTGTATACCCCTGATGTTTAATTTGTTATGAAAACATAGTTTTGGAAAGAATTCCAAAACTGGCCATAAATAGATTCTTGAATTTGCTTAGCTTGGTCAGTGAGAAATGTTGTCAAATAGTGCTGCTTATCAAGTGAGGACTTGCAAGCATTATACGTTTAAAAATAATTTGGGTGCTAGTGCCTCTGATCTTGGATTCCTGTAGTCATGTGAATTTGCTCTGTGTGCTCTTTGCTTTACAGAGCTACTGGGGTGGGGGCAGTAATGTTCCCTACTTGCAGAATTTGGACTTTGTAAGCCTTTAGGACTCGGCATGAATTGGGAGGAAAACATGAAGAAGGGGTTGTTTCTTCAGTAGGTGAGCTCTCAGATGATTAGTCTAACAACTGGATGGTTTATCACAAGGCAAACAGCCCCAGGCCTCAGAGCTTCTCAAGACTTTTCAACACGGGATTATAATCAATGTTGTCCCAGTGAGTCATCCGAGCAGATACAAAGGTTCAGTTATATTTTCTGTGTTTGAAAAGGTACAGGTAAAATACATTTTGAAAGTCTCAATGAAAATGGCTAAAAGTTAAACAAAACCCTAGATTCAAAGTTTATTCTGCTCCCATTCTCGAGAAAGGCCAATATGTAGCGTGGGTAAATGAGATGGGCAGGTCCTCCATGTTCCTTGTGTCCTTTACGAATGCCCAGCTTCTTGTGGTTCATTGTCCTCTCCCCCACAGGATGACAACTGGGGAGAGACCACCACGGCCATCACAGGCACCTCAGAGCACAGCATATCCCAGGAGGACATTGCCAGGATCAGCAAGGACATGGAGGACAGCGTAGGGCTGGATTGCAGACGCTACTTGGGCCTCACCATTGCCTCGCTCCTTGGACTTCTAGTTTTCCTCACCCCCATTGCCTTCATCCTGTTGCCCCCAATCCTGTGGAGGGAGGAGCTGGAGCCTTGTGGCACAATTTGTGAGGGACTCTTTATTTCTGTGTCATTCAAACTCCTCATTCTGCTCATCGGGACCTGGGCACTTTTCTTCAGAAAGCAGAGAGCAGACATGCCCCGGGTGTTCGTGTTCCGCACTGTTTTGTTGGTCCTCATCTTTCTTTTTGTGGTTTCCTATTGGCTGTTTTATGGAGTCCGCATTTTGGACTCTCGGGACCGAAATTACCAGGGCATCGTGCAATATGCAGTCTCCCTCGTGGATGCCCTCCTTTTCATCCACTACCTGGCCATCGTCCTGCTGGAGCTCAGGCAGCTGCAGCCCATGTTCACACTGCAGGTGGTGCGCTCCACCGATGGGGAATCCCGCCTCTACAGCTTGGGCCACCTGAGGTAAGAGGGACGTCCTGCAGGCAGAAAGGACAACTGGTATCTAGAAGGTAGCTATTCTTCAGCATGGCAGGAGTGATGGCAGATGCAGGCGATAGAACTCGAGCCCCTTTTTTGTTTTGGTTTTGGGCTGAACTGTGTGTAGTGGGGACATGTGGGTGCTGCGGTGTCCATGTGCACTGATTCACTGGCTCTCAGCTAGGTTCGGGTTTTGGTGGGCCTGTTCTCACATATATATGACTATGTGGGACACTCCTCAGTGTGATGCAGAAAGGACATGTATAGTCACGGCTGCCTACCTTGACCCTGAAATGATGACAGTTAATTTCATTTTACCCCAGATGGCATCTCTGGTTTACCCTGCCATCCTGGTTTGGGGAGTAAGTCTGGACATTTTACTGATCCTCCAGTAAAGAATTAACTTTAGGTTAAAGACTTTAAATGTGGAAAGGTTGATCAGTCAACCTTAGGATGTCATAGTTTAAATTGATGCAAAAAAGCTAATTATTTTTCAGTTAAAAGAATGAGAAGTATTCATTTTATAAGAAAGTAAAAGTGAGTGCTTTATATAGATTACATATCTAGTCTTCACAGAACCCTGTGATACAGGCCTTATTTAATCAGAGTGTTACAGGTGAAGAAACTGAGGGTTAGGGGATTTCAATAATTTGCACAAATATTGTCCAGTCTTATTTAGGATTCACTCAGATGTCATGAGGTCAGGGCTGAGTTAATGCCCTGATTATGGCCTCTCTCCCTTTGTGTTTAGTAGCTTATTTTTCCATCTGTTTTCTTCTGCAAGTTCTGGACTCCATGAGGACTCAGCTGTGTCTTACTGCTTGTGGCATCCTCAGTGCCTGGCCTGGAAGGTGGTGTTGGCAATCTGATCGTCTCTAGCATGTCTGACTTCAAAGCTCTTCCTGGGATAATAACTCAGGATGACTGACTTCAAAGCTTCACCCTCTCCCTGGGCTGTTCTGCCTCCTGGGCAATATGTGCTGATGTGTGTAAACTGCCAAGTGTGGTGGTAAAGCAGCCAAGATCGGCAGGGGCATCTTAGTGGGCACCAGAACAAATGGCTTTGTTGTAGTTTTGGCTGGGGCCCAGGAAGGTAGCCCAGCCCCAGCTTGGAGTCCGGTCACACTGCCAACCCATCATGTTGGCATGCATCCTCTTCCACTCCTCTGGCTCAGCTCATCATCCCAGGACTGGTTGATTTAGCACTGAAGCCTGCAGTCACCCTGATTGATCCTCAGAGGGAATTGGTGTCTAATTCACATGGTCTTTGCAGTAAAATTTAGCATTGTGAGGGCTTTTCAGCTGCCCATAGGGTTCTGATGGCAAGTAAGTTCTATTAATCCCAGAGAGCTTTATCTTCCCTCGTATTATACACTGGAGAATGACCAGCAGCAGGCTTACGTTAAACCTTTGCTGCGTGTAGAGCCCAAGCCTTGGGGCTTCAGAGACACAGGGTGGCTACAGTCAAAGCTTGTTTCCAAACTTCTAGGGCTCACAGTCTTTTGGGAGAGAACCCAGAACACTGCTGTAGAATAGGTAGTTGCTGGAATAGGCCTGGAGACAGGTGATTGGCAATAGAAGGACGAGGAATTTAAGACAGTGGCAGCAGTAAATCCCAGCCAGATGGAGTCTGTTTCAGGACAGGTTTTGTTGAAGTTAAAACAGTGGAGAGGAATCCGGCTAGGTCACAGTGGAGATGCATAGGATTTGGGATGGTGTCTAAGTGTGAGTATCTGGAACACTGGCCCAAAATGAGATCTGCAGTGCTGTTTTTTATCTGGCCTTCATCCCTAGAATACCACCTCAAAGGCAAGGATGTTGTCTTCCTCAGCTTGGGTCATCCAGCTGATAGGACTGATCCCACCATGGACTCCTACGTTGTTCCTCCCTCTAAGACTGGTTGATCTGGGCCGGGGCAGGAGGGCGGAAAGCCAAACAGCCGCAGAAAAGTAGGAAGCCCTGTGTTGAACCACAGAGCTGCTGGTGTAGGGTTGAACTGGGTGGAAGAAACCAGACTGATGATGCCACAGACCTCTTAGTCTGTTCCCATCATGACCAACCAATACTGTGTCATCACTTTCTAACTGGAAGCCAGTCACCCCAGCTCCCCAGGGAGACCCAGAGGGTGGCAAATATCCAGCTGCCCTGGGAGAGAGCATTTTGAGTGGTCCTCAGTACAGTATCTTCCTTTGGACTCCTTTCCTTGCCCTTTATAAAGCTCTCTTTGCCCCTCCTGGGGAGGCTTGGATCCTGAGGTGGATGTGGCTGGGGAAAGGAAGGTATCTTTCCCTAGAGAGCCCTTGGGCAGGAATGGATCGCTTGTAGCAGCCAGTCTGCATGAGCTGGGGCAGGCTGGCCACCTCCCTCTGAAGCTGTTGTGGGCCCAGTCACCTGCTGATCCCTGGGCTAAATCTGGTCCAAACCCAGCAGTGGCTGGAAGAGTCACTCGGCCAGAAATGTAACTTCTAAGTCCTTTTGTGAAATGTAGGGACAGGAGGGAAGGGGAAATGGGAATGGACAAAGCGAGTCCTGGACCTCATTGTAGCAGGTCTTCATCAGACCCAATCAGATCCACAGGCCCTTCCTCTTCCCTTCATGCAAATCCTTTGCTGCTACAGAGACGTACTGTGCTGAGGGCCAGAGCAACAGGGAGTTCTTTTTTCCTGGTTTCAAAGATGGTTGTATTGAATGGACTGAGCTATTTTTGAGAGTTGTCAAAAGAACGTCTACTCTTTAGTTTCTTAAAGAAAATAGGCTTCTCGTTAGCTCTCACAAAAGGCACTTGCTGTGGCCGTGCTTGCTGCCAGGAGCAGAGATAGAAGCTTATTTGAAAATTTTTAAAATTTTAAAAGGTTATTGTTGTAAGATGTGAGATACCACAAATAGATGAAGATAATGACTCACCTTCGCTCAGCGCCTGATGAGTTATGAGGGCTATTCGTATGTCCGGTCTTCATATACCCTTCCTCTAGGGTGGAAGCAGATGAGGTAGATGTGTCTGCCTTTTACAGCTGTGGACCTGAGGACAGGTGAAGGGACCTGCTCAAGGTCACAAGGAGGCAGTGCCTTGCTGTGTGCGGCACACACCTGTTCTCTCTTGGCACCCTGGTTTCTCTGCATGGCGGGTTTCTTCGTATGGCTGGTTTCTCATTCTCTGTACACACCCCAGTTGTCACTTTTCTTGGTCTGGTTCTTATAGTGGTTTGCTAACTTTTCTATGGTTTTACCCAAAACTAGTGATTTTTGATCGAACTGTATTTGAGAAGAAACTCATAAGAATAACGAGACTTAAAATGACATTTAATTATCCTAATTAGTAATTCCTCAGTTTTGAAATCTTTAAAGGGAAACACTGTACATGCTGGATCACAGACACTGATATAATTGAGTCTGAGATGTAGAAATGTAGAACAACAGAGACAAAGCAAACTGTGCCAGTGAACAATTGCACAGTCCTTACGACCTGCCAGGTAACTTCTCAGCTCTTCAGGTACAGCTGATTGCTCGTGACAATCCTCCAGGTTAGGTACGGTCAGCCTTCTTTTGAGATGAGGAGACTGAGGCGTGAAGAGTTAAGTAAGTTCTCAAATCCCCATCAGTTTTGTAATTGTCTGAACCAAGGTGTTATCCCTGGTGATCAGGTTCCAGAAGGATCTTAACTACTCACCGTACTGCCTCTGAATGGAGGGTTCCCCTTGGCATCACTGCTTTGTGAGTGTGTGAGCAAGCTCCTAAGCAGTGTCACATTCTCACTGCATGCCAGGCCATGTGCTGGCTACACGGTCCTGTTTCATTCAACTTCTAGATGCTAGCTTGTGCACTGTGGTCAGTCCTTCGCTCCCCCGATCTTTCATTCACTCGGTGGACAGAGGTTGGTCCTTAAGACCATAGTGGTAGGTGGGAGCCTTTGGTCAGTCCGTTTTACCTTCTGTTCTTCACATGTTTCAAGGAAGATGTCCTTTACCCATTGGTATATAACAACTACTTCAAAATACACCTTAGACCAACCACCATTTTGTCAGTTCTGCAGTGCTGGGTTGGGCTTAGCAGGGAAGTTCTTCTGCTGGTCCAGCTGGTGGTCTCTGTGTGATTACACTTGTGTGAGCCAGCTAGGGCTGGGCTTTTCTCTCTTCGTGTATTCTGCGGTACTCTCCCTTCCCACAGGGCCTCTTTTCTTTGTTTCTGCATTTACATTTTGAGACTTCTTAAGTGGCAGCTCAGGGCTCTCAAGAGCACAAGAGCAGAAGCTCCCAGGGCCCATAAGCCAAGGCTGGAAGTGGCCCAGGATTACTCATGCTGCATTGTCTTGGTTAAAGCAAGTCACAAGCCATCCCAGATTTGAGGAGTGAGAACTGTGAAAGCGAGGACTAGTAGAAGCCCTAGTTCAATTCAGCAGACAGCCACAACCTCAGGCTCCTATTCTCAGTCTGTTTATTCTTACTTTGCTTATAGTTCTAAGAGACTTCATTATTGATTTTTATACCTTAAAAAGGGCAAAAGTAGTTTATTTCAAGTTGGGGGAATGAGCTGCTCTCAGGATACACACAACATCATTTAGAAGAGACAGCTAATAGTCATGAGCAAGAAAAGAACCCACAAAAGTAGACATAACTTGCAGTGCCCTGGGGGACCTCTATTCACCATGACCTTCTCTGTAGGGTTTTCATATTGCTGAACTCTACTGTGCCTAATTCAGTCCATGTGTTTTAACTGTTGGGGTTTTATGCGTGGTTCGTTCACTGAGACTAGGAATATCTTATAAGTTGGCATTGAATATGGACCTCTTTACCAAAGGTCTAGTAATCATAAAACTTCCTGTGCTTTGAATAATTGATCCTTGGGTTGTTTTTCAAGAAATTGAAGTTTATCATAGTGCACGGTTGTCATTGTGTTGAAAAGGAATAGTTATGGGCTAAATATGTTCTCTCCAAATTTATGAATTGAAGCCCTTACCCTCAGTGTGACTGCTGTATTTGGAAGTGGAC